GATGGATGGATGGATGGATGGCAGGTGGATAGATGGGTGGTGGGTGGATGATGGATGCAGAGAAGGAGAGACGGGTGGGGAACTGGAATGGATGGCTGGGTGATGGCAGACAGGTGAATGAACTGATGATGAATGACTGATGGGCAGATAGGCAGGCTGGGGAGAAGAGTGGGCCTGGAGCCTGACGGCCTCACTAGCCATGTGGCCTTGGGCAAACCCCCTCTTGTCTTCTCTCTGAGCCTCATCCCTCTCACCTCCATAACTGTGGGCGTGAAGCACATGTGAGCCCCAAACTCATCTTAAGCAAAAGATGTATGTTTGAGCAACTTTTAAGGACCAGAGGTTGGTGAGAGATGGCTTCTAGATCAATCCTGCTTAGCTAAGAAGTTGTGGAGTACTGGGAGCTGGGGCGAGGCTGAGGAAGGACCCCTGGGATGTCTGAGGGCTCTCAGCATCTGAGGGACAGCATCCCTGTCCCGATTCCCACCCCTGCCTCCAGGGAGAGCTGAGATGTTGCTATAATATCCCAGGTTCCCCAGAGCTAAGTGCATCAATCCACCAGGCCCAAGTGCCATTGACCCATCTGGGGTCCAGCTATAAGGCTCAGTGGACTCTCCACTCTCCGTGCACAGGAGGTTACATCCCACGGTCACTGCCCTGCGCTCCTGAGCCCCCTGCCCAGGACGTCCTAAGACCCACACTTCCTGCAAGGCCCCTCTTCTACGCTGGAGACCTGAGCTCAGGGTGCCACCAATGGCTGTGTGGCCTTGTCTCCCTAGACTGCCAGGGACACGGAGTCTGGGAGCCTCTCTTTTCAGGAAACCAGGGATTCTGTGTGGCCAAATCGCCCAGTGCTTGGAGCCCCGTCCTCCCTGCCCTGGGCTGAGAGGGGCCCATCGGGCTTGCCCGCCCATGCGTGGACCAGCAGCGGCCACAGTGATAAAGGCTTACTCAACTCGTGCTGTCCAGGGCGGCCCGAGAACTCGATGACCAGCAGCTCCTTGCCGTTGAAGCTGCGCCCGATGCTGTAGGTCGTGGAGATGTGGGCGCAGCGGGCCGCAGTCCCCTTCAGCACGCGCACCATCTGAGCGTAGGAGTGGTGGACGAAGCGGATGGGGGGTGGCGGCAGGCCCGGAGGCGGCACTTCCTCCGCCTCCAGTTCTCCTGGGAGAGACATAGCGTCAGGGTCAGTCCATCCACCCCCTGCCTGACCCTCCACACCAGCCCCCAGGGCTACTTCAGAGCTAGGGTCCTGGGACGCTTTGGGGACCCCCTCTCCACCAACCTGCACGTGGTTTGTATCAACGTTCCCCCGGGAGGCACAGGCAGACCTTGGCTCATCACGCCTCACCTAATGCGCCCGCCCCGCAGAGGCCGCGGCTTCAACAAATGGAGCTTCTGCCGTCCCCCCCGCCCACAGCTTGGATTCTGTCCGTGCCCTTTGTCCAGCAGCAGGCGCTTACCTGATGTCTGTGCCGCAGGATGGCCTTATCTCAACCTCCTCCCTCCTGCGCCTGCCCCTCACAGGCCACGCCCCTGCACCTGCCGCTCATAGACCACGCCCTGGCACCTGTCACTCAGACCACACCCCTATGCCTACCCTACCCACTCACAGACCACCCCCCTGCATCTGCCACTCACAGGCCACGCCCCTGAACCTGTCACTAAGACAATGCCCCTGTGCCTGCTCACTTAGACCATGCCCCTGCCACTCTCAGACCACGCCCCTGCACTTGTCGCAGACCACACCCTGCACCTGCCACTCACAGATGACGCACCCCCCACCTGCCACTCACAGGACACGCCCTTGCGCCTGCCACTCAAAGACCATGTCCCTGCGATTGTCACAGACCATGCCCCTCAGCTACGCTCCTGGGCAAACGAGATTCAAGTGCACTGGGAGGCCTTCGAGGCGTTCTTGGGGCCTTGGAGGTTTGCCTGCACTTACCCCAACATCAACAGCGATAGCCACACCCAAACCCACCGCCCTTCGCAGCGTCCGGGACTGTCCCTCGGTTAGGGGCATCTTTATGGGGGCAGATTGCCACATCGTCTTCTGTGGAGCGGCTGGTGGCTTTGAACCACTGACCCTTCAGTTAGCAGCCCCACCCTGACCCACTGCGCCGCCACGCTAATCCCTGGCATCCGTCGGTGCGGACTCCCAGAGACCCTGTGGGACTGCGTAGAACCGACCCCCGGGGGTTCCGAGACTGACTCTTCCTGGGAGTAGAGAGCCTCCTCTTCCTCCCTCGGAGTGGCTGGTGGACTTGAACTGCACCAGCAGGCTCCCCGGGGCCCCTCACACTCTCAAGGTCAGTTCCTAAGGGTGCCGTGCGCAAAAGCAATGGGCGCCTGCGCTCTCTTTGAGATTTTATGGTGAGACACACGGTGGACAGAGGACAAGCCACGTCTGCAGGCCCCTCGGCCCGCAGGGACCAGCCGGGGCAGCACTGCCTTCTGTGTCCCCAGCTTGTTTTCCCCTCTGGACCTTCAGCCCTGCTGCAGGGTGAGGGTGCAGTTTCTCTGTCTGCTCGGTGACTTCGCCCCTGCACCATCAGGAATCAGCCAGAAGCTTGCTCCATGCCCATCTCCTCAGGCCACCCTGTAAAAACTCACAGAGGAATCCGGATGGGAAAGGGGGCTAAGCCCACCTGCACCCAGGACCACCCAACCTACTGTGGGAGCGACTCAGAGCAGCCCTCTTGGGGTTCCTGAACTGGAATCTTCCAGCAGCTGATTGCCACGCCTTCCCTTGGGTGAGGAGGGGAGGGCAGAGGGGCTCAGGCTGGGTTCATACCAATGTGAATCTCAGAAAACTTGCCTTCATCATCAGAGCAGGGATATACGGAGTGATTCCAGCTCAGAGTGACCGTACAGGACAGGGCAGAACTGCCCCTGTGGATTTCTGAGACTAACTCTTTATGGGAGCAGAAAGCCTCGTCTTTCTCCCATAGAGCGGCTGGGGGTTTTGAACTGCTGACCCATGCATTATCAGGCCAATGTAACCACTATGCAACCAGGGCTAGAAATGCTAAAAAATGAAACAGAAGCTTAAAGATAGCTACTGTAAGCATTCGAGTCAGAAAACCAAACTCACTGCCATCCAGTGGATGCTAGTGACCCTATAGAGCGGGTAGAATTGCCCTTGTGGGCTTCCTGGACTGTTGCTCTCCCCCCCACCCCCACCACGCCCACCCCCGCCAAACCCATTTAATTGGGAGCTGATACGGGCACCAGATCGATCCACAGTTCAGTCACAGCAAGCAGTGCTGTGCTGTGGCTGCCACCGTCCATTACAAATCACTTTCTCAGGGGGCCCTGGGGGTCCAGGTCACTTCCCCAGCTCTGGGGGAGGCCCAGGTTCCTGAGGATGGACAGCCTGGTGACTCACTCATTCCGGGCCTCCATCTCTCCTGCAGACTGGCCCTGGCACAGTGGGTGGAGGAGCGGTGCTTCCCCAAGTGCCCCCCAGCACCTGTGGGTGTGTTTCAGCTCAAGGTGGTTTTGAGGAAGAGAGACGCCTGTCATTGCAGGTAAAACCAGCAATTTGGCTGCGGAGATGCCCACAATAACCGTCCACCCCTGTGGGAGGGGTGGGGGTCCGCCCACTGTCTGGGCTTCTTCCTGGATGCTGGCCTCCCTGCGTGCCATCCCCCACTGCCCACGCTTCCTGCTTCTGCAGGGACGACAAGTCGCTCCCAGGATGCCCCTCTACCCCAGTGCTCCACTCCCCGCCCATCACAGCAATGAAAGGGCCTGAGAGTCTGAGAAGCCCCAGGGACCACCCTCTCCAGCCTGACCCCCCACCCCGAGGCCGCAGCCCATCCTCACATCCAAACTCACAGCCAGGTACACAGTAGGCGCCTCAGTAAGAGGTGGCAAGCCTGGCCCAGTTTCTGCCCAGCAGGAGGCACAGGGACGTTCCTGCCACTGTCTACCCCTGGTCTCTGTGTCCCCATCTGTGAAATAACTGCTGTGGTCTGGGTGGGAGAGAACGTGTGACCTCAGGGTGCTGGCCCCGGGGCCCTGGGTACCGCTTGCTCTGTGAAGCCAGATTGGGTGGGTGGGGGAGAGCAATGGACACAGGCACCTTGCGATTGGCCTCTTCCCCTCCAACCCCAGAAGTTCATCTTGTCCCCGTGGTGTCCAGCGTGGCCTATGCCTCCAGAGGCCCTCTGTCCCCAGGGCTGGCTCTTCAGATAAGATGACCACCCCCACTTCGCCTAGAGCCCAGCTCCAGGCCAGGACCCAGGACCCTGTGCAGGACAGGGTCAGGAGGCACGCCCCTCCCCCCCCCCAGGTCATTGCAAGGCTGAGTTTGGCAGCCCCTGCCCCACTGGGGCATCCTGGCTGGGGCTGACTGGGGGCGCGGAAGCTTTGGTCCAGGACTCAGCCATTGTCCACACCAGGCAGCCAGGACACCACAATCTCAGTTTAGCCTCCTCCCGGAGGTGGAGACCCCTGTCAAGGCCCAGAGAGCCTATCTCCGCCTGGACTCTCCCTGAGCCCTACATTGCTCTACCTAGACCTCACCTGTCCTCACTCAACCCCACTCCCTCTGACTCCTACTGCATCTCTGCCCTGCCCAGGCCGGCTGTTGTGCAGACCATGGGGGGAGGGGGGGAATGTAAACTGGGGACCCACTCCTTATAAGCCTGCACCACTGGGGAGCCCTGGGGCGCAAGGGCTTATCCAGAGACTGCTCCCCACAGGTCAGAGGCTCAAACCCACCAGCTGCTCCTCAGAAGAAAGATGAGGCTGTTTGCTCCCAGAAAGGGCTACCATCTCAGAAACCCACAGGAGCAGCTCTTTACTGTCCTGTGGGGTCTCTGTGCATGAGTCCACTCGAGGGCAGTGGGTTTGGTTTGGTCTATAGATGCATATGTATATGCAGGTATGCACACACACACACACACACACACACAGAGGAAGAGGCATGAGGATCCTTGGTGGCATCGTGGGTTCGGTGTTGGGCTGCTAACCACAGGATCGGTGGTTCAAACCCCATAGCCGCTCCTTGGGAGAAAGATGAGGCTGTCTGCTCCCGTAAAGATTGACAGCCTCAAATGCCTATATGGCCAGGACCAGGAATCTGTTTCTGCCCGGGCCATTGATTGGACAGTTAGAGCATCCTTCACAGGCCATTCTTCCTGGTCGGCAGGCCTCGCGGGAGAAAGACATGGCTGTCCCCTCCCGTAGATGGACAGCCCCCCTCCCCATGCAGGGCTGCCTGGAGGGAGTGGGGATGGCCTGTGGGAAGCAGGTGGCTAAGGTCTCCATCTGCCCCCCTGGATCCCTGGCCCCGGCTGCCCGACGCCCCTGGCCCCGGCTCACCACGCAGCTGCTGCAGGGGGTTGAAGCAGCCCTCCTCGTCCCTGGCGAAGTAGCGTTCGCAGTCCAGGAAGTAGGGCCAGGCCATGTCGATGGCATCGAAGGCCGGCTGGCAGGCCTCCCGGAGGACCTGGCACACGTGGCGGCAGGCCCTGTAGGTGCGGCTGCCCTGGCAGGGGGGTGCCAGCACGGCGCAGCCCAGCAGGCGCAGGTCGGGGTTGCACTGGCCCTCCAGCAGGTGGTGCAGCACGCTCAGCAGGATGTACTCGGGGCTGGCCTCCAGAGCCGCCCGAGAGCGGTGCGCCAACAGCGTGGGGAAGGCTGTCTGGTTGTAGGCAGCATCTGCACAGGTGTGCAGCTCCAGGTCCACGCAGGTGGCTGGAGAGAGAGGGGGGCACCGGTCACTCCCCTCCCCGCCCCCCACTGATCCCTCACAGCTGCAGGACAGCCGGGCAAGGGCTGGGCGGGCCCGGGTGCCAGTTCCAGCCCATGACGGTGCGCGGCCTTCCCACCCACCCACAGGGCAGCCTTCTGTGTATCGCAGTCCCCACCCCACCCCCATGTGTGCCCAGCCTGAGAGAGTCCCTGGGCACAAGATCAAATGCTGGCTGCTCGCTGAAAAGCCGACACAGGGCACGTAGGAAGAGAGGGCTGATGATCACCTCCCCACACCTGCGAAAAATAAAGCCGGCCCCTGAAAATGCTGTGGAGCCCACTCCACTGAGACCCTCGGGGGTCCACAATGGCACCCAGCAACCGTGGCGACCCGGCTCTCAGCTTCCAAAAACCCATCACCGGGAATGCTGAGGGTCCCCTCCAGGCCACGCGTGGGTCATCGTGAGTGGTGACAAGGGGACGGCCCCCCGGGGTGTGGAGGGGAGTTCCGGGTGGTGCCGACATTATGCGTGCATCGGATGGGGATCCCACTCCCTGAAGGCTTCCTTGGAAGAAAGGCCAGGTGGTCGACCTCTGGCCCCATGGTTTCCTCCTCAGGCTCACTCGCGGCCACCACGAGCCAGAGGTGGCCTGACGGCAGCTAGCAAGGAGGACTGCGCTGCTGGGGACACCCTCTGCCTCTGCAGCCCCCGGGGGGACTGTATATCATGCACTAAGCTGGCTCAGTGGCAACATTAAGGGCCCCCGTGCCACCTCCTGGCCCCGCTCTGCCACCACCCTGTCCTTTCAGCTGGATACCACGTCCAGCAGGATAGTGGTCTATGCGTTGGGCTGCTGACCACAGGGTCAGCAGTTCAAAACCTCTAGCTGCTCCATGGGAGGAGGAGGGGCTTCCTCCTCCTGTAAAGTCACAACCCACAGGCAGTTCTGTGCTGTCCTGCAGGGTCACCGTGAATCGGCACCCATGGATGCTGTTACCGCTAGGTGGCATCCAGTGGGTGCTGACCCACAGTGACCTCATGCAGGGCAGAACCAAACACCTCCCGTCCTGCACCATCCTCACACTTGCTCCTGTGCCTGAGCCCACTGGTGCAGCCGCTGTGTCCACACAGCTTGCCGAGGGCCTGCCTTGACTGTACCTGACCGACGTCCTTCTCCAGGGACCGGTCTCTCCTGACAACAGGTCCTCCAAGGAGCACCCTGGCCCTCCTTGCTCCTTTCGGCAGTCCACGGGGCCTTCAGTGTTCCTCTCCAGCACCACAGGTCAAACGCTTCGGTTCTTCTACGGTCTTCCTGATTCGCTGGACTCAATCCAAATCCCCAAACTCCCTTCCAGCAAGTCAATGCTGACTCCCAGTGAGTGACCCAGCAGTACAGGGTAGAAGCGGCCCCTTTCCGGGAGTAGAGAGTCTCATCTTTCCCCCTGAAGAGTGGCTGGTGGTTTCGAACTGCTAACCTTGCAGTAGCAGCCAAGCGGTAACCACTCCACTCAATAAAGCCAAAGCCAGATTCACTGCCATCGAATCCAGGCTGGCGCACAGCACCTGCTGTGGGTTTCGAGACTGTAACTGCTGATGGAGTAGAAAGCCCAGTCTTTCTCTCTCAGAGCTGCCAGTGGTTCTGAACTGTCTACCATGCAAATCACAGCCAGCGCATCACCACAACGCCGCCAGGGTTCCTGTAGGGCAGCAGTTCTCAACCTGTGGGTCTCGACCCCTTTGGAGGTTGAACGACCCTTTCACAGGGTTTGCCTAAGATCATCAGAAAACATATTTCCGATGGTCTTAGGAACCCAGACACGGCTCCTCTATCGGTCTCCAGGCCGGTCCGCTCACATGCAGAGACGCCCACATATGAGGACCCAGGGGCGTGAAGACTGTTACCCATGCTACACCATGCTTCAAGGCAAAACTTCATTTATGTGTCATTAGAAATGGATATTTCACAAAATGTAATTGCATATTGTTTTTGCGATGAATCACTGTGCTTTAATGATGTTCCATTTGTAATGATGAAAATACATTCTGCCTATCAGATATTTACATGACGATTTATCACAGTAGCAAAATGACAGTGATGAAGTAGCAACGAAAATAATTTTATGGTTGGGGGTCCCTACCACACGAGGAACTGTATGAAGGGGTCGTGGCACTAGGAAGGTGGAGCACCGCTGCCTTAGTTAAGAGTTCTAAAAACCAGCAGCCGTGCACACGGCCCCCTGCCCACCAGGTGGCACCGTGGCCGGCGCTGCTTCAGCTAAGGGGGCCATTGTGAAGCACTCACGGTCCATCAGGCGCACAGTGGGCCTCCTTGGCCCGACACCCAGGACCCTGTGGGTGGTGCTGCCGTTGGGTTGGCTCTTGCAGAGACCCGGGGACAACAGAGCCACACACCGTCAGCCCGTCCTGCACCATCGTCCGCACAGCCAATGGCTCTTAGCCACTCACTGTGCCCACCCACCTGGGTGAGGGGCTTCCTCTTTTGCACTGCCCCCTTAACCTTCCTTGGACTGAGGGAGCCCTTGAAGGCGGTCAGGAGAGAAAGCCCCCCACCCCCACACCACCGGTCTCCGCTTCGGGTGGACTTGAACCAAGGAACGGAGCACTTCCAGGAAGGGCAGTTTTAGACAAAGATAGTCCAACGCTCTTAACGATCACCAAGCTGAAATGAGGGGCTGACGCCAAGGCTCAAGTAGAAAGAAACTGTTTTGAAAATGATGATGGCAACACATGTGCCAATGAGCTTGACACCATGGATGGATTGTGATAAGTTGTACGAGCCCCCAATAAAATGATTTTTTAAAATCACCAAGCTGGGGGCAGACAGAGGAAGACCCTGTGTCTATGGGAAGCTGAGCTGCCGGCACGGGAAGCTTGGGGGTGGTTTCTGGGGAGACAGTTCAAGCCACTGGACCGTCCATGCGGACATGGCCACTCAGGGGCACCGCAAGGGCAATGACTGCGACGAGGGAAAGCGCCAGCCACAAGTGAGGAGCAGAGGTCACAGCAAGGAGCCGTCTGGGCCACTGGGTCAGCACAGCTGCAGTGGGAGGACGATGAGGCAGCCGGCCCAGTGCGGCCTCTGAAGCCCGCGGGGCCGCTCTGCTCTGTCCGGCAGTGGCCTGGGGGCTCCAGACCACAGGCTCAGACCGCTCGTCTCTGCCAAGTGTACAAATGCCACCCGCCTTGGGACTCCCTGCCCTGCTGGCCTGTGAGTGCAGCAGAGAAGACCCCGAGCAGGCGAGCTCCCCCCGTCCTCAAATCAGCCTGACCTCGAATCAGTCTCTTTTCCACAGTCCTGCACAGTGCCCTCGTGGTTACGCAGTTGGAAACCACCAGCGGCTCCCGAGCACGGGAGAAAGACGGGGCTTTGGACGCCTGCCAGGAGTCACGGTCAGGGAGCACTCACGGGGCACCCTTTCAGCCCCCGTCCTGCAGGCTCCCTGGGCGTCAGTGCTGACTCTGCGGCAGTGAGTTTGTACTGAGGGAGCCCTGGAGGTGTGGTAGTCATGCCTTGGGCTGCTCACTGCCAGGTCGACAGTTCGAAGCCACCAGCCGCTCCTCTGGAGAAAGGCAGGGCTTCCTACTCCCGTAAAGAGTCACCGTCTCAGAAGCCCACAGGGGCAGTTCTACCCTGTCCTACAGGGTCTCTGTGAGCCGGCACCAGCTCGATGGCACTGAGGTTTTTTCCTTTGGACGGGGTGGGGGGGTGGTGGCATCAGAAGTGGAAGCCAGAAATCCTGCCCCCTCCCCATGAGCCATGAGGAGTGATAGGTGCCAGGATGCACAAGACCCTGGGCACCCACTGACCCCTGACTAGCTGTTGGCCTGGGGGTCCGTTTCTCTCAGACACCCATGTGTTCTGAGTCCCCGGGCTTAGTCTCAATATGGGATTCAGAGCTCAAGCAACCCCCTCATAAGTCACCCATTTTTTCCTTTCTGTCTCTCTGTTTGGGGTAAGATGCATGAATCCCTGTGCCTTCAGCAGCCACTTGGTGGGAACCCCAGCTTGGATCCTGTCCTGAAACCCTGCCTGCCCCTCATAGGACCCCCGGTTTCCCGTTGTTCTCATGCCTGAATCGCGTGTACTTGGGAGGGAGGGGGCTGACCATTCCGGTGATGGCCTTCATAGCAGAGGCCACTCTGGGGACATTGTGTTTGGCACCCAGGTTCCCATGGGCCTCGTCCCCTCCTCTGTCTGCTGTCTCCTGGGTCACAGTTTTGAGCTGGTCTCTGCACATCTTGTTGGTCACGATGGAGAATCACAGGCAAGACCAAGGGCAGAGCCCCAGAGCCCATCTTCCCTGCCGGCCTCGAGTGTGCACACCTCATGGGACCCGCACCTGCTGAGACCAACTGTGCTGTGGGTCACCTGTACCACCAGGTGAGTTGTCCTACCTCGCGTTCCCTTTTTATCCTGAGACCTTGGCTTCAACCACACAGAGCCTTCTCTCAGGTTTGCCACTGTCCAGGAGATGAGGAGTGTCCAGTCTGCATTCAGGGGGGATGGCCCCCAGCCCCCCACCCAGGAAAAACCCCCTCATGGGGTTTCTCATCCAGGATCCTTGGGCTGATCTTCTGTCAAAAGTTGGGACCTCGGCGGGGATGGTGCAGGCCATCAGTGGCGACGGTGGGAAGCGTTTGATAGCCCTAAACGTGTTCGTTTGCAAAGCACACCAGAACAAAGGGACACGGGCTCCACTACAGA